GATTGGAATCAAACCGAGACCAAAGCCATCTGTCTAAATGAGTTTTGCCTCTCAGCGGCTCCAACTCTCAAAGGATACAGCACTTACCATTGGGATTTCGATTATGATATATGATTATATCATCCATCCAAAAATATGATATATTTTTGGATGGATGGAGAATTGGCATGGCCATATGTGGTTTTGTAATACTAACCAATAGCATATTTCGCTGGGCCATAACGGTTATGCTGATTTTGTCAAAAGACAGTGTTATGAGATCCAAACTTCTTGATGGGAAGTTTTGTGGGGGCTTAAAGGAACAGTGTAGAATTTAGTGCCATCTAGTGGTAAAGTAATAGAATGCAAGAACCTAATTCCGAAGCATTTTTGAAGCAGCGCACGACGGTGCCTTACAGACGCCACACCTCGTGATTTGGAGGAAATACATTCACTAAGTTTGTCAGCTTTGTGTATCCATAGCAGAAAGTTGGCGGGGAAACATGGCAGCCTCTGAGGCGCGTCCTATGTATGATAATTAGCCATTACTGTACTTCACCCACATTTTTTTTCCTTTTTTCCCATATCATTGAAATTTACAGTGGGTTTTAGAAAAAAATTAACAGCGAAGAATTTTACACACTTCTGCACTCTGTCAAGTAACAGTCAAGACTATTTGTAAGTCACAAATGAAGGTAAATTAGTATTGTATTGTTTTGATAAAAGGTGATAAGTATGAACACACACACACACACACACACGCGCACACACACACGCGCGCACACACGGAAGGGAAGGAGAGAGCAGGAACAACAGAGAATTGCAGCTGAGCATCGGAGTCAATTTTTTGTTGACCTTTTAAAAACCAAACATTTGTGTGAGACGTCCAAAATAGTAATATTGTCGAAGACCGATATATGTATTTGTATTTCACAATGCAACAGATGTTTTTTGTTCTATTCAAGACAAAAGAAGAAAAAAAAAAGTTTAACGTGAAATACAGGCCATCACCGATGTACTATTGTTATTTGAAATAGAACAAGACATCACAACACAAAGATCAGAAAATTTAACACAAAGGTTTGCTTGAAATTCAAAGAACTGAATTTGTCTTTGTGCTTGGGATGGGGGAACATACGGATTGCTTTCTATTTGTAATTAAAAAAAAAAGTGGTGTGTATTGATCTACAACAAGATCCTCTTAAGAATTGAATGAACATGAGTACTAAAGTACATAACAACTTTAAAAGCCATCTATTGGATTTGGAATTGAGGTCAGATGTAGCGCTCAGCAACGTTGTAGATGTCTCACTCGGTCGCTCGCGAACGAGATTCTGGTCCCATTGTGTCTGTCGCTCATTCCATTTTCTCATTCAAAAACATGCTCACATGTCAACACAATCGATTTAAATCAGAAACAAGCAGACCAATTCACAAAGTCGCCATTTCATGGCGACTTTTCAATGAGACAGCGCTCTTGCTCAAAAAGGGGCCCTTACGAATTACCGAGCGGCAGGTGTGTGGCGCATGCGGCGCGAGGCTAATGGGGAGCACGTTCTGCGGCAGGGTTGAGGGTGGGAAAAAAAATCACGAGTGCTGTTGGGCATAACCGCGACAGTGGTATTATCTCACTGCTTGGGACATTGCCATTTCATGTTATTTTTCACCGCCGGATTTATCTTATAGATGCTTTCCAAATGTAGTCTTGTGAAGCAAAGCTTGTTGACTGGCTACGCAGTGGTTCATACAGGATGATGAGTTATGCCATTTTAATTCTTGGGTATATGGCTCCCGTCATTCCATAGTCACACAAATTACAAAAAGTGGAAATGGATTATTTAATTTGCACCTTTATCTAGATTTGCACTCAGGTTTGCGGACACAACACCACCCTCTACATCAGGGGTAGAGAACTGCGGCTCCTCGAAAGCCTGTTTTAGATACCTGCCTACACTAACACACCCGATCGGGTCATTAACAAGCTTTGTCGAAGCCTAAAATGCCCCTGATCATTTTAAGTAGGTGTGTTGGAGTAGGGAAAGATCTAAAACAGGCAGGATATGGCTCTCGAGGAATGGGAGTCCCCTATCCTACCCCAGCTCAACACAAATAAATGGATTTTGTTTGCACAACCGTAAAGTTGTTCAACCCCAAACCAAGTTCCCTCTGTCAGACCTCACAACGAATGAAATGCAACTGGCATTTCACATTGTTAAATTTTGACCTTGTGTCTTCTTGTGTATTTTTTTTTAAATGTCCTGTGGGCTATCCAAGCCATGGTCTTTAATTGATGCCTTTAAATATATGGCTTATCCAAGTTGTTAATACTGTGGCTGCATTGATTAGGGCTCATTCAACAAAGCCTATCGGAATATCTTCAAGTCCAAATCTATGTGGGTTTTTGTTTGTATGCCCTGGCAATCAATGTGTGTGTGTGTGTGTGTGTGTGTGTGTGTGTGTGTGTGTGTGTGTGTGTGTGTGTGTGTGTGTGTGTGTGTGTGTGTGTTTTCTTTAACTTTGACTGAAGCGCTCAGATGAGGGACACATTGATCAAGATGGCCCCAATTAGTCTTTGTGATTAATTGAGTGTGATTAGATGTCCTCTCTGACACTTCCTTGCTGATGCTATTGACAGGTTAATTAGTTGCCGTGGTGACTGCTTAACCACAGCTAACTGGCTGTGGCAGGGAAATAGCCTGAACAGAAATTACTTGGACAACCCCCATCTAAAGTCTTGATAGCAAGAATACAATGAGGCCAACGTTTGTCTGCTTTTTGTCACTCTGTTCCTCCTCTGGGTTTGTCTTCCATCTTGTCTTGGTCCACGATGATCTGCATTTTTTTCTCAGTGTGAAGAGTGTCGGACCTCAAAGACTTCCGGGTAACTTGAAAACCAAAGTCAGAGCTGCAAGTTGTTCCATTGTGCTCCGGATGCCTTCTCACTCACTTTGTAACTCATATTTAATGTGAACAAAATGGAGAACAGAATGTTTCTGTTATCGGCGCACGGGTACTGGCCCCACATTAGGTACAGTCGGACGAGCTGATGTTCCAAGAACAGCATCGAAGGGTCTGCCTTGACAAATAGGATTACAATAGAAGTGGCTGGATATCTGCCAGAGGCTGAATCGACAGAAGTGTGCTTGTTTGATCATTCGCAGGCCACCTCCGAGTTCACTGAGGACAGAAAAGAAAGCGACTGCATCATTTTTTTTTTAATTATTACTTTTGGGGTAGGGGGGTGGTTTTAATCATGACTCAAGAGGCCAGAAGAGGAAATGAATTTCTCAAATGGGGGTCTATTGGTGTTGAAATGGTTCACATAACTGAGTGTTGCGCAACAACAGTTCTCACTCATTGTGTTATTTGACAAATTGTTGACTGGTGCTCAGTCCGGGGCAGTGGTTCTTAACCTTGTTGGAGGTACCGAACCCAACCAGTTCAAATGCACATTCACCGAATTATTCATTTGTTAAAAACAAAAATATGACTTTTTCCAAATTCAAGACATAAAAAAAGCATTTATTAAAAAAACAGAAAAAAAGTAAATAAAATTTCAAGACATAAGTATACTTTTAAATTTTTTTTTAATTTTTTTTTTTTTATGACGTACTATCATGACAGTTGACTACTGAGCGAACAAAATTTCCTGCAGCACTGATTGGACAAGCGATGTAATGTGATCATCTGCAGCCAGTGACGGCCAAGTGGGTGTGTCATAACCAATTGACATCTTGAGTCGGGTGTGTCTTAATCTCCATGGCAGAGGCTCCGTCGAACCCCTGAGACCGATTCATCAAACCCCTAGGGTTCGATCGAACCCAGGTTAAGAACCACTGGTTCAGGGTAGTGTTTCCCTTTTTGCTCTTAGTCACGAAATCTAACTCTCCACTCTTTTACATCTGGCGACTGTAATTTTGCTTAATTCTAAACGAAACGGTGTTTATTTTTGTTGTTGTATTTTTATTGGGGAACATGTATCGGGTTCTACAGCACAGCCACTAAAATAAACTAAAAAAAAAAAAACCTCAACATATATTTTCTTTGTGTCTTTTTTTTTTATGCCATTGTTGAATTAGATCTCATTAAACTGCGCAAGTGTTCATAATGTGGTGCCCAATATGTGTAATCTAAAATATATATTTTTTAAATTGATAATAGCTCTTACATCTTCCATATAGCGCAACATACTGTACTGATTGGGACTAATGAAGCACTGAGTGTGAAATGAATTTTCCGGGTCTTAAAACAGATGAGGCACTTTGCGGATCAATTTATAGAAGCAAATAATTATCTTCTTTCTCTGCTGTACCGGGCCAGCACTGTATTTTATATGTAATGGAAATAACTCTGGGAAAAAGGGCAAAGAGCCGCAGGGAGGAAGAGGGAGTGGTAGACAAGTGTGTGCTTCACTTGCTGAGAAGAAAAGAGCTTAATCTCGAGGGAGTTCAGAGTTGGCATAACATCGCTTCTTCTGGACAACCTCCTCCATTCATCTGTTACGCTTCCCGCTGCACTATCCTTCTTTTCTTTACATCATACAATATTGCCTCCCTACTCTCTTTTCCAACTTTTTAACACCTCTACCCCCTCCGCTTTTCATGACTCTGTCAACGTGGCTCCCCTCCTCCGTGGTTTCACCTGTGAAAATAATCGTAAATGTTTCAAGATTTTTCAAAGGCGTGTACAGTTCTTGGTTGATGGAGTCATCAACGTTCATATCGGTGCGATGATCTGCGCTCCGGAGCACCTTGTACAGCACGCAAGACTCTAATGCGCAGTAGCTGGAATCACTGTCGTACTCTTATTTTTTAGAATCGGATGTCAAAATTGTTGGGAGATTTTCTGATCGGCTTTTTTTGAGGAAGGAAGGAATGTTGATGGATGATGTTGCCAAGCGCGAATTAATGTGAGCAAATGACTGGAGAGCATCCCTGTCTTCCTCGCCGGCATAAGTGATTAATAAACATTGTACTTGAGTGGAATAGTCACCGTCTGTTCTTTGTTTTTTCGCCCCGCAGTTTCCCCTCGAGAGCCCATAGTCTCCTGTCGATCCAACACGTATCCCAAAGGCTTCTACTGCAGCTGGCACCAGCAGCACTCAACCTACATCCCCACTACGTTTGAAGTGGACGTTCAGTAAGTTGTTTTCAAATGTGTATTTTATTTATGCTTACATAGCGCGATGACCTCACAGTGCAGAGGTACCGGGTTGAATTCCAGTGTGGAGTTTGCATGTTCTCCCTGGGCCCGTGTGGTTTTTCTCCGGGTAGTCCGGTTTCCTCCCACATTCCAAAAACATGCATGGCAGCCTGATTGAACACTCAAAATTGTCCCTCGGTGTGATGGTGAGCGTGGATAGTTTTTCGTCTCTGTGTGCCATGCGATTGGCTGGCAACCAGTTCAGGGTGTCCCCCGCCTACTGCCCGAAGACAGCTGGGATAGGCTCCAGCACCCCCCGCGACCCTTGTGAGGATAAAACGGATCGGAAAATGGATGGATGGATGTACAGCATGAATACAGCAAATACCACCCCCCCTCCCCCAAAAAATACCGAAGACTCTCAAAGAGATGGTTGGATAGATGCAAATACACAAATTCTAGTACAGTGAGGGATCAAAAGACGTTTAAAGCGAAACAGCCGAAAAGGTTTCTTGCCACAAAAAAACAAAATACCGGTAATTGTTTTCACATTTTGAAAGATATTTACAACATGCTGCCGTTTCTCTTTCTGTTTTTTGTTTTTTATTTTTCTCTCACCAGACATAACCAGCGTTCACTGGAGGTGCTAAAAGATTCCATCCATAAGAACCGCTGCCATGTACGTTTTCCAGAGGTCTTCTCCATCTTTCCGTACAAAGTCAACGTGACTGCAATCAGCGCTTTGGGGAAAGCCTCCAGCACAATTTCTTTTGAGGAATCCAGTATAGGTAAAGTAAATATCCTCAGTTAACTTGTTTTGTCTTTTGTTCTTCTGATATGCCACCGGCTTTATTCTGTGGTATAGTTCTTATCATTGCTCATATGAACCGGATATTTAAAACGTTTTGGAACTCACTTTGCTGTAAATTACCACTCTGCGAAGAAGCATTTGATGTTATTCATGACCAACGATGCTTAGTTTCCAATGTGGCACAGTCTTAGGACCCTTCCCGCAAAGATCTTGGCATAGAACAAAGAAACTGAAAAAACTGAGTGTCATCTCAATGAAGATGCCAACCCCTTCCCCGGCATCGAAGTATTTCTTTGGCCACAGATGATTGATTTTAGTTATTCCCTCTGGAGGTTTGCGGCATATACGCATCAATGATCAGTGCCAGCAAGACAAAGAAAATAGGAAATAAGTGGCCAAATAAATGTCACCAAACTGAAAAGCGAATGCCGGGCTGATGTTTTTTTCTGCTTACGAAGTAAGCACAGTCCATACATGAGAAAATGACCCCACTCCATTACATGGTATCGCTTGGAAACTGTTTGGGTTTTTTTTTCTCTCTCTCTCTCTGCTTGCTATTGATAAGTTTGCAATTTTAAATTCAGCCCTGACAAAATGTGATATGTATTAGATGATTCTTTGGAGTTAAGTAGGCTTTGTATGCCGATACAGTAAACAGCGGGTGACTTAAACCACCGTTACAGTCATTGCACATTGGTCTTCCTCTGCCTGCTCGAACTCTGCGGGCGATGCTTGGTTTCATCCACAGTCTCCACTACGCAATCTCTTTTCTTGCTGCCGTCAGCCTTCAATAAAATTTCTCCTTACTGTGTCATGCCAAGATTTTATTGTACTAATTTAATGGGCAGTCATTGATGACATTGTGCTTTACTTGTCTAACTTCTCAGCAGCCTGCATCTGTTCAAGTCTAACTTATTGGCAGTCTGTGAATGTGAATAGTTGCTCTTTGCCCTTTGATTGACTGGTGGCAAATCCAGGATATCGTCTGCCTTTTGATCAGATAAGTGGTGGCTCCGCATAACACTGAACAGGGCAAGTGGCATAGAAAAGGGATGGATGGATCGTTGAAGTAGCGATGCAAATACAGCAAAAGTCAATGTATAGCAGAGGTAGTTTGCAACTGCAGGTCCTGCTACCTAACTGCTGTCGAGCTTTGTATCCATTCGACCGTTGCGCGAAATGAGCTAACCGCACGGCAAGCCATGTTTCTCCTTGAACTCATCTGTTGTAATCCAGTTTCCTCGACTCTCTTTTCTTCCTTCTTTCGAGCAACACGCCACACTTGCAGTTAGGTTGATGCGTTGTCCACTGCTGTGAGTGAATTATAGTCAAGCTACGTTGCCTTTCGTGTATTAGAACACTATTTGGATACATGTGTGCATTCAGTGTTTAAATTTTAAGTCTACAAAAAAAAACAAACCAAAAAACATTCCAGTATAAGTCCATTTTGCAACGGAGAAATCAAAAAGCTGAGGAGGGCGGAGCCAAGCACAAACACAACAAACCGAGAAGGTTGAGTGTCACAAAGCCCGCGCGTGTCAGTAAAACATTCTCACTAAACACAGCCTTCAGCTTTTGTTTGCAGCAAACACGTTTAATTGAAGCTGATGCGACTCTTGCAAAAGAATGGCAAGGCTTCTCAATAGAAAGTGCCCGATGACGCAAACACCGGCTGCCATGTCAATACATTTATCTCAACATGTTCTCACTGGAAAATAGTAGCAATCGCACAAAAAGCGAAGCACAATGTGAGGTTTATCACTAGACTATTATCATGAGCGTCACGCTCGACAAACTTGGCGGATAAGCCACCATAAAAGAAAAAATTGCAAACTCCCAAGTCCTCCCCAAGCAATAGGGCATATTATTTCTATAGTCAGCAGTATGGCACTAATGTAGAAACCTCTGCAATAGCAGAAGAATCCTAAACATGCCCCACTGACTAATTTGATTCGATGAATCCACATCCTCGTCGGTGCAAAGCCTTGCCCACTTATCCAGATGTACGCCAAAACGCAATGGGTTCTTGAAAAGTTCATAAAAATGATTGCTCTTCGCCGAACTTGGTGGCACTCTGAATTCTGAAGTCTGTGTAAATGCGCAAGACGGTTACACCACAAAAGCGGCATTGTTAAAGCTTTTCGGAGACTGGCTAGGAGGCAATGAAGAGGAAATGTGTTCACTTTAAGGAAGGAATGAGCTCCACTTAAATAGATAAGGGAAGTGCTTCTGGCGGTTCTCAATTCTGCTGTAACCCTTCGAGTGAGACATTTGTGTGTATGCTGTACAAAACACACACACTCGCTGTGTGTTGGTTTTTTTTTTTAAATAAATTGAGCCAGTGACATGCTCTGCCAAATCCCAGACACAGGATTGATGAAAATGCTAATGCTAGCCGGATTAGCTCTTTCACTGTGGATACTCCCCTTAACTACTGGTCGATACGAAAATCGCGCAGTGCTCCTTTCTTTGCAGTCTTTACACTCCCGTCATGCTTCTCTTCTTTTCACTTTCTTCCTATCTTTCTATTTTCATCCCTTCTGTTTGCATGTCGATGTCTGAAGCTTTTAGTTTAGCCCCCCCCACCGTCCCATTTGGTCAAACTGCTCTCTCAGCCCCTGTATTGCGAAAAAAAAAGTCTAATTTAGCAATTTAACTTGTGAGTCACATTCATTTTACGGGAAAACGAGGCATATCGTAAATAAATAAAACAATTTCATGCTTTCTGGCGCACTTCTTAATTCCGAGTGGAAGTACGACCACTCATGACTGTCCTTGTTCATTCGAATACTGCTGGAATGAAATTAGATGAGATGTGAGAGCCGTGTGTGTGTGTGTGTGTGTGTGTGTGTGTGTGTGTGTGTGTGTGTGTGTGTGTGTTGAATTGTGATTCTGTGATGATAAAGACAGAAACCGTTGAGCAAGTTTCATCTCCTTGAAATAAATCAAGGCTTCTACAGTTGAAGCGTTTTTACTGATGACAAATAACTTCACAGTCAGTCAGGAACCTGTCCTGACCCGTCTTTGTGATTGTGAATACAAAAAAAATCAATGCGACAACAATGTAATTAGGGATTGGGTGATAATGTGGGAGGTCAAGAGTATGGATAAGATGGACGTTTTTTTTTTTGTTAATGTTTGTGACGTGATGAGGAAAATGTGGCGTGTGCGCCGACTGCTCTTTTAGCCCACTTGAGATAACCAATGATGAAAATGAACAGATGAGCTAAGAAACCAGATTTAGCTCATCAGTCAGGCAAGTTGCTGGCAGAAAGAAGCGGACGAGTCACAAGCTACTCTGTGGCGGTTGAGAGTGGATGAGATCAGTAACCGATGGCAGTGCATCACAAGACAGCGGGCGGCAAAGCACCACCTGCTATGTTATGCGGCTTCCAGTGGACAGAAGGATAACCTCTGGCAGCTGTCCACAGTCTGGTAACCGCCTCCCCTCATTGCTTAAGTCAAAAGTCCGATATCATGAAACAACCTCTGTGTTCAGTGAAATAGGGTGGGATTTTTTGACCAGTAGTTTTGGATCAATTTAAGATTGATTTACCGAGGATTAAGATCACAGGTGACCTTTTGCAATTATTGCAAATGAGTCCATCTCCACAGGTTACTTGTTTACCTGGAGGTTCCCGAGTGTAATAGGAGATCAGACAGTTGACTTGAAATGTCGAGATATCCGTGGCCAGCTGCTATCACATAGCCAGCATTACTTTCAGTCGTCCATGTGCACGTTAAAATCATGCAAATTTTAACACAATACGTGTCTGGTAGGCGAACAGAAACTCGCGGTTTTGCCGTTCAAATTCGGCAATTTGCTATTTGCAAACACGGATTTCGCTTTTGGAACCTATCCTGATAGTCACGGAAAGCTTTTCACAATTTTCTTTCATGTGGCTAAAAACAAAAAAAAAACAAAAGTCTTTTTTTTTTTTCATGACAATATGCTGCCTACATCAGGTGTCAACAATGTGTTACAGCGAGAGCTACTTGTTGGATATGGATCAATACTAAAATGAATTAAGAGTTTTATGTCTAAACAAGTCACCTAAAAAAAAGCTGATACTCTTATTTTCAGCAGGCTAGATCACTGTAATGGTGTCTTTACAGGTCTTTAAAAAAATAATAATAATAAAAATCAATCAGGCAGCTGTAGCTGATCCAAAATGCTACCACCAGAGTCCTTATAAACACCAGGACACTGGGCGACATCACACCTGTCCTCACGTCCATACGCTGGCTTCCTGTAAGTCAAAGAATAGATTTTCAAATCTTGCTGTAACATTCTCTCAATGGTCTTGGACCAAAATAAACACATAACGTACTCGTACCCTACGAGGCATCCAGACCCCTCCGGTCTTCTGTGACAGGTCTCTTGTGGTTTCCCAGAACCAAACAAAGTGAAGCAGTGTGATGTATATCACTTTGAATTGACTTGTACATGAAATGTGCTGTACAAATAAACTTGTCTTACCTTGCCTCTCAAGTTGAAGGCATTAAGAGGAAGATAAATGGGGGAATAATGCACGTTGGACGGTAAGACTACAGGGAAATGACTGATGCCCACGTTTTACCATCTGGAAACAGCACGAGTCAGATTCTTTCCTGCGTAATGTGGTGTTTTGGTTTTTTTTTTCCCCACCTCGATTTCCTGGTGGTACAGGCTCACCACAGACACGGTCTACTTTCCCCCAGCTGCAAGTGAGAATGAAGTGTGTGGATGAATAGACTGAAGCTAATTATCTTTGGCAAAGAGCAACACGGCAAAGCGTCAGCAAGCACCCTAGTTTCTGCCGGGTAAAATGACAAATGCTGTCAGCGGCAGCTCACGGAGCTAATTGGTGCAAATTCTTTGCGAGGCTTGATGACAGGCTGACGTTTTGTTGAAGTACACTTTTGGTTCTCGTCAGCCAAAGTAATCACCACTCATTTGGCTTCCATGCTGTGGAGTGATCCATGTACCGTATGGACAAATGTGTTTGGGCAACAGATAACTGCTTTTACGGTATGTTTAAAAATAGATCTGAAAAAAAACTTATTTTTACAATTTTCAAAATTTCGCCCCGAGGAAATACGAATCTGCCGAACCGAGTGGGGTCGCAAAATAATGCTGCCTTGACAGGGAAAAAAAAAAATTGCATTATTGCACTTGTGGTCCGCATGGTGCCAAGTGTATGACTGCACTGCAAGTGCTCCCAGACAAAGGTGATCCTAATGAAGTGTCTAGTGAGTGGACTTATGTAATAACATCATATGGAAAAGGGAAAAAGGCATGAAAGACTTAGCAGATAGAAGAACTTGAGTCATAGTTGTCGTTTGGCACAGTCTGAACTCTTGTTCATCATTTTAAAATGTTAAAAGTAGAAGGAATCCGAGAGGTTTTTATTCTTGGCTATGCACATCGAGCTAAATTTATAATTTATGAATAAATGATTTGCACAAAGTCGCCCACCTCTACATAAACATTAAACAACTTTGTTTTTCCTCCTCAGAAAAATTTTGCTACCATTAATCTGCTGGTGTGCTTCTTTTTTTTTTTTAACACTTTGAGCGAGTGTTAGCTCTCGAAACAAGCTAATGAAAACGAATACACAGCAAGCGTAACGTGAATCCCATTCAAACAAACCGAAGCGAACCTCATAACATTTGCGCCGCACATTAAGCAGAGCTTTGTTTACAATATGACAATCGCGTTTTTCTTTGGTTTGGCGATCGCCTCATTAAGCTTCGCCCACCGCTGCTCTCTGTGATAAATCCGCTAGCGCTTTGCTTGTTCTGCTTGGCAAGGCTCCAGCTTATCATGCTTCCCCCATCTCCCCTTTGCTCATTACTAATGCAATGGCCGGCTTCCGTGCAATGTTTCAGACCAGATGAATGGTCACTGGGGCCATCGATCGAAGTAGATTCCCTTCTCTGAATGGCACATGTTTTCATATCTTTGATGAACCGCTGGATGAATCTCATGTGAACAAAACAGCTTGTGTGCTGTTCATCGTTCTTCCTTCTACTTTTACTGATGGAAGGTCACGATGAGATTAACCATCCCGTGATGCTTTTCTGCGTTTATCTGATCAAATCCATCTTTATCGTGTTCAAGCAGTTCGGTCAGAGTAGCCCGTCTACATGTCTAGCTCATGTTTATTTCATACGGTATGCATGCTTTATCTTGTGCTGCTATCTTTGTACGTGAATGCTGCTATCCGTATCCTGTATCTTTTGTGCACGTGGTCTGGAGAAAGTTTCACTGACTTATCTGCTCACTAATGGGGGTGATCGAACAAAGAAAAAGGTTATTCGGTATCTTTCAATGGAATTCTCTCTCAAGGATACGGATACAGAATGCAGGACTAACGCATACCTTTTCTACAGGGACTGTCAGCTTTCATCCGTTCCTCATCTTCAGACTCCTGAGCGGTTTCCGGCCTCAGCCATTGTTGTCACTCATCTCTTACCAGACAGGTTTCAAGTCATTTTACCGGTGATTGTGGCTGATGTCCAAAGCAGCTACGATGTTCAGAGTCACCCATCGAATCATCACGATTTGCTGATTTTAGGACAAAGGACCAAATTTGGTCACTCTTTTGTTTTTTTTCTACCAGGCTTGGATTTTCTTGTCACTTTATATAAAACGTCACGTTTGTTCAACCAATAACATGGATTTTTTTTAAGGTGAGCAAGCCATTTTCAAAATTTAAGATTGGTGATTAATTTGTATAAATAACACCCATACATGTGAACCTACCATTAGTATATATTTGGGGAAAAATATTAAATGGAGCAAATTGTGACATAGAGGGTTTCGGCCCAACGCCAGAAATATGTTGGTTGACACCACCTTCAAATTCCCCAAAGGTCTTCCTCAAAATTTTCTGTTTTTTTTGATTTATCGATTATTGGTTATTAATTTGGTTTTGCTGCCCTGCCACATTTGGTCATTGCTCTCCATTCAGATTGATTTCACAACAGGAGCAGCTAATTCCAAAGAATACCGACTTCATTCCAAGGTTCACCGAGCGGCCGATGCTCTCATGAGCATTAACATGTGAGACTTTGGTTCATTCTTATTTCCTTTTCCCCCCCTCCCAGTCAAACCAGACCCCCCCGAGCGTGTGACGGCGACTCCGATCCGTTACAATGCACGTAGGCTGGAGGTATCCTGGCAGAGTCCTGCGACCTGGCCCGACATCGACAACTTCCCCTTGAAGTATTTCCTTCGATACCGCCCTCTCATCAAGGAGCAGTGGCAGCATGTAAGTAGCATCCTGTGGAGAACGCGTTCACATAAGACTGGATTGTTAGCCTGGATATACACTCGGGCCCGACCGGTACAGATTTTTTTGAGTAAGATGCTGATTCCGATATTTGGCAGGAAAAAAAACAAATTCCAATCGGGAAATTAATTTTAAAAAAGTATATATATATATATATATATATATATATATATATATATATATTGTTGATGTTCTAATAAGAGGGATCTTTTCTCTTAGTTCTCTTTTCATCCAGCAAGTTCCAACTTTAATTAATGTGAAACAATGACACCCAAAGTTACATATGTCCAGTCTACTGTATAATGTGTGTTATATATATATAATTAATAATGAGTAGAATAACTTTCTTTTTTGGTTTATTTTATGTATTTATTTTAAATCTGATATGGACATTATATCGAAATTGGGCGCTAAAGATCTGCTTTGTATATCAATCCCTCCTAAGCTATATACAGTAGATCGAAGGTTATCGTTATCATTCAGTCGTTGATAGTTTTACCAAACTCTTATTCCTGTCAAAATCAAAACGTCTGAGGATATGTTCAACAGCAGACTCAACAAGCCCTTTTTAAACTAGTTTTAAGTGCTTTCGTCCAGCCGCCCAGATTGCAACTTGGTTGCATGTTACTGTCTCGAACTTCTTTTGCGCCGGGCTCTTTTCCCTGAGGCCAGCGTATAGTGAAAGCATATGTGCCCATTCAAGATAAAAGTTCTGTCCGCTGTGGTCTAATGTTGCAGTGTTATTATCGTGCATGTCATTGGTTTGCACAGGTGTTATTTTAAGGACTTGGGTTACAGGCGCTCGCACATACACACGTGTATCAATGAAAGGCCGAAAAACATTTTCTTTCGCTCTGTCTTTCCTGCACACTTTCAGTCCCCCCGCAGGTAGCTTTCGACACTTACTACCTCCGACCTCACAGCAGTGATATTCCCCATCTCGAGTCTTTCCAAGCAGTCGCATCTCGTCTCACACTTCCTCAAGCTCATTTTGATTGCAACTGGAGATCGGAAAAAAATTGGTGTGTGTGTGCTTTTGCAGCTGAGTAAATTTCTACATCTATAAAATAGAAGTTGTTATTGTTAAAAAAAAAAAAAAGTGCATGCAAAGGATGACAATACCATACCCATCAGCTCAAGGTTTCCGGATTCAACCCACAATGTGTTGTTCTGGACGTGACGAGTGATGCTTGTGGTGTCTGCTTTATCAGACTGTGTCAGAATGCTTTCTGTTGTAGCGAGCTGCTTTTTTTTTTTTTTAATGCGTGCGTACACCTGCTTTCTGACAAGTTAGATGATCTGATACTAAATGCATTTTCACGATATATTATCACACGATGGATCGCCGTTGTTCCCTACAGCCCTGTCCTACTTCTCAGAATCCCTTGCAAGCATCCATTGATATGATGGGGGGGGCGAGTTCAACCCGAAAAAAAAATATATATTTGTGGCTAGAAATTGATGATTAAACCTGACACACGCACTCAACCACCACTCAGGAACTGATGCATAACATGAAACATTCCAAAACCAGAGTCAATGTTCCGATTGGTTTAACGGAACATGATTTGAAAATTGCCTCAATGCAGTCAATGACAGCTGGAAACTGCTGACTCTTTGTCTTCCGTGGTCGTCTTGGACAGAAGTTTGACTTTTCAGAGCACTGAGAGGCAGAAAATACGGTGACTGTCTAGACTTTTATTAGGTGTTGGATATATTCTTTCAGCCTTGCGGGAAGCACACAGTCTGTTTGAGAGAGAGATGATTAATTGTTGTATAATTTGCGGATGGAACCAGATTAATTTCCCATTAACGGTAGAAAGGATTTCATTATTTGTGGTGGTCGAATTGTGGATGCACGGCAGGTATCGGATCACACAGCTCACACGAGTTTTTGATTCAAAATAAATTGAAAGTAGCACTTGTGGTAGATGTTAATTTGATTGCCAGGTTCCGACATGAATGCGGTTACTCATCTTGCGAATCAAGTGTTGTGCGCAAGCCAATTAGAGATTTGTAGACACCACTTTCACCTTGCGTGACAGACAGCTGGGTGAGAATGACTTTCCCGCACAACATCTTCAAATGTGTTTGATGGTTGGGAATGTGATGAAGCTGAAGAGCTTGCATCCGATCTCCTCGGCGCGAGCGTTGTGACGGATATGGTTTCTCTCGGAAGGAGAAAATGGATTGAAAAAGAGTACTTGCAGGAACGATCAACATTATCAGAGTGTTTGACTGATTCATATGCAGGCGTAAGAGATGACTGAGCAATGCCAAATTAAAATAAGCGCTTATTAAATTTAGAAATGGGTGGCGGGGGATAAAAAAAATTAAATGGGGTTACTTGAAGAATAAAAGTGAAATAGAAATGGAGTACGAGCAGGAGAGCCTTTGACAGAAACGATAGAACTATGCGCAAAGGGAAGATAGTGATAAAATATATTGAGGAACGGGAGCCAAAAATAGATAAATAGCACGAGAGGCCACTTTGAAAGGGCAGTTTTAGAGGCCATCAGTCAGAAAGGTTTTTCACATTATGGGGGTGATAAATGAAGACATCCAGTGAAGAGGAATGGAACGGCGTCTGGGGATATTTGAATCTCAAGACTTTCAATAAAGGACGAAACCCATTTTGAGGCAATCATCTTATCAATGTGCTCTTAGAATAATTCCGGAGAAAATTGTAAGCTATGGGAAGCTCCGTGTTGCATTTTATTTGAATAGAACACATGTACGGGTGGCACGGCGGTCGACCGGTTAACACGTCGACCTCACAGTGCAGAGATGCAGGGTTCGATTCTGGCTCTGGTGTTCCTGTGTGGAGTTTGCATGTTCTCCCCCGTGCCTGCGTAGGTTTTCTCCGGGTATTCTGATTTCCTCCCACATTCCAAAAACATGGCAAGCTAATGGAACACTCTAAATTGTCTCCAGGTGTGATTGTGAGCACGAATGCTTGTTCAACTGTGTGTGCCCCGTGATTGGCTGGCAACCAGTTCAGGGTGTCCCCCGCCTACTGTCCGAAGACGGCTGGGATAGGCTCCAGCATCCCCCGCGACCGTTGTGAGGATAAAGCGGATCGGAAAATGGATGAAAATGAAATCCTATGCCATTTACTAGAATTGTTCAAAATGATGTGCAAATTTAGCCTTCTTGAGTTCATACGAATGGGCTAAGTTGCACAGTCAGGTTGACTAGCCAAAAACAAAAGTGTCAGTCGTAAGTAGAACTGCACAAAGGAGAGTCGCGTACTGTGCAGTGGGACAGGTGTATAATTATGACTTTACTGCTGTTAGAGTAGGTTAGTGCTACAAATTGGGGTTACGTTATCACCTTAGGAAAATAATTCCTTTCTTTTGAGTTGAGTTGATTACCGGTATTTGAGTTATATTAACCACACCAGTGGCATTATTAGGCCATATATATATATATATCAAATTCCAAAAATTATCTTTACATTTTCTAAATCTGACCAATTGTGAATGACTCGCCAGCCGTGAACCTCACCGCACATCACCGCATCCACTTGCCTGAAACTGTTCAATGAATCCAGTGCCGTTTCCCATGACCTCTTTCGAATGCTGTCTTCAGCGAGAAGTGGAGCCCAACTCTCTGAGCAATTAAAAGCAATGGACCAGTCACTGTGATGAGAACAATTTCACATTGCTCAATATTCTTTTTCCGCTATGTTATGAAACTACATCTGCTGTGCTGTAATTTCCCTTTGGGGGTGACGCTGAAATCCAGTCGACTGAAAAAATGCGAATACTCATGCAGTCAGACTTGTGCATAGAAATGTGCAAGAGCAAACACACGCACATACACACACACACACACACACACACACACACACACACACACACACACACACACATTGAAAGCGTTTATTATAACTCAGAGTCTTTGTTATGCTACTACTGTATCTTATGCACAAATGTGCAAGAGCACACACACACACACACACACACACACACACACACACACACACACACACACACACACACACACACACACACACGCACACACACACACAGACAAAGCGTCGAGATGCTCGCATGCATATGAATAAATAAACAGAAGCAGTCAAATTAACACATTCTTGTTCCCCTAATTAAAGTGATTGGTATACGTATATGAAATCTTCTGGCTGAGCAAATCATAAAATGTGATGCTAATACGCAAGCACATGGAGACATGAGGACTGGTTATGCATAAAAGCTAGCAAAACCATATGAAAATATCTGCAGATAGATAGATAGATAGATTCCATTTAATGTTTTTCATTCCATTGCATTCCTCATCTCCTTGCAGACATGCTTCCCCCCCACTTTTTTTTTTTTTTTTTTAACTTACAGATATCGTGTCTTCCACTCTCGGCTATCACCTTGTCATCCATCCATCCAATCCTTCCATCCATGCAATAAGCCAGATATCTCAGCATCCACCCCTTAAGGCATCCATCTGTATCTGTGACTGCACATGATAAATGTTTAGACCTTGATTGGGGGAAAACATCCCATCAGAAGGACACTGGCACAGACACGTCGTTTATCAGGGCCGACTACGCGCTATCCCGTTCCAGTCATCATCATTTAGCTTGGCTCCAGAAACACATCAAAGACTTTTGCGTTCAACGAACAGAAGAAAAATGTTGGCGTTTTCAACTCACAAAAAAATGGGTTTGTCTAAAAGGTTATTTCAAGCCTCCGTGGGGTTTATTTTCATTGTAAAATGCAGACACGGTTGGCTTTCAGCAATTTAGCTCCTCATCATGTGTTACCTGCTTTTGCTTTTTATCGTACGTCATTATTTAATTTAAAAAATAGCTATTTTTTTGTTGTTGATGGAAAGGGGGAACATGAAACGGTTCAAATGGCTGTTGCCCGGTGCCCCTTTTTCATCCGCTCAGCAGTCTGCGCAGTTCTAGGTTCCACTGTTGCTGTTTGAATGCGATACCGTCTCCCCAAGCTGGCATGGGT